TTTTGCATTAGGAGCCACTGATAGAGGCAGGGCAGGGGTGTGAATGAGAAGGGAAGAAGGAAGGAGCCTGGTGATGCTGCTCAGCCCACTGAGAGCCTGGGGTCTGGCTCAGCGGCTTTGCAGGGTGGAGACAGCTGAGGCCTGGTACCCAGCCAACGACGGGCTGAGTGGCGGGTGCTGGGGAGCTTCCATGTGTCCCTTCAGGTCTACTCCTTGTCCTGCCCTGCCTTGTTCTGTCCCCCAAGAGGCTGCCCTGGGAAGATGTATCAAGAGGATGGATGCAACACAGTCTCACCATTTCTTTATACAGTCACTTACACCCAGAATCACTTTCATTTTAACGTTTTTATTTCATTTTGGTCTTTGTTTACCCTTATGACCATGTCTCCAAAGCTAAAGTCCCCTCCAAGTCCAGGTGAGCCTGCAGCAAACAGAAAGGTGATTACAGTGGAAATGAAAGTAGTAAGAATGAAACATTCAGAGAAAGGCCAGCCACCATCATTTATTGGAAAGCATTCAGCTAGACAATCAGAACAATTATGAAGGATAAAGTGAGAATAATGGAACATGGGAAAGCAGTGCTCTAATGAAAGCATCAATTATTACTAAGCAGCACAATGGATTAATTATTGAAATGGAAAGGTTATTATTGCTTTGGTTAGAAGATCAAAATAAGCATAACATTCTTATTTGCCTAGCATTGACACAACATTGGGTGACTGCTAACCTTTGATATTCTTTTTAGAAACTTCTCCTATCTCCTATCTAAACTGTTTGTATTGGTCTGTATTTATGTCCTATTGGTTTGAGTTAAAAGAAAGAGCACAACAGTTTCTGTAACTTATTATTACAGTACAGGGATATTATTATTATATTATTATTAGCACATGTGAGAATTATAGCATTATTGTTATTATTGTTGTTACCGTATATGTGATGTTTATCAGTGGTCTGAGTTACATACAGATCCAACCTAAAGATCTTCCCAAGATTGTATTTCATTCATAACCTGTGTTTAACCTAACAGCAGAGGAATACACATTTTTCTCAGATGCACAAGAAACATCTTCCAGGATGGATCAGATATTAGGCTGCAAAACAAATCTTAACAAATTTACAAAGACTGAAATCATATCAAGTATTTTCTTTGACCCCAGTGACATAGAAATAGAAATCAAAAATAGAAGAAAGATTGGAAAATTCACAAATCTCTCTTCTGGTGCTTCCTTCCAATGATCATCCCAAGCAAGGATGGCGCTCAGTGCATGAATCCAAGTACCACTGCCCCGTTTCTCAGAGAAATTCTGGTAACAGTTTATATACTAGGTACAGAGTTCGTAGCATGGTAAAAAGGAAGAGCCCTGGACTTGGGAATCCAGCAGAGATGGATTGACATCTGGGCTCACGTTTTACTACCTGTGTGACTGTGACAAAGTATTTTACCTCATTGAGCCTCAGTTTTCTGAGTTCAGAAAGGGAGTAATGCAAATTACTGTGCGTTAATAGTGAATGAAAATCTGTGAGGCGAACTGATAGGTTACACTGAGCACTCGGAAAGTGAAATCTGCCCTCTTGAAGAGGTTCCATTTGGAGGTTGCATCACATCACACACCCTTTTTACCTGAAAGTAGCAGGAAGGTGGGAGATTGTCCAGAAGGGGTTGCATTTAGCTTGGGTTGACAAGGAGAAGGAACAGAGCTCCATCTGTTGTTAGAGGAAATGAAGGGGATGGGCTCACCTCTTTTTCTAGCCTTAGCGTGTCATTATCTTAAATTGTAGTTTCCACTGACTTCCATTTCGGAGCCAGGTGTGGGGAGCCTTTGGTGATGCCCCTGCCCACATTACATTACTGAAGGCCCCAGTTACTCTTTGGATCTCTGAACGCCCTGAGTCTATGCACTGGCTGCTTTCTCATGGTGAGGTGCTGCTGCCTCTTGCCTTTGTTCTTCCTGCCCTGTGACGGGCCCAGAGTCATTGGTTTGGCTTTCTGACCTTTTCCAGGAAATCCCCACTGGAGTCCCTGGAATAAAATTTCTCTGCAATGTTTTGTTCTGAGCATTACTTCACTCTGATCCTCGTGCCTTCCTGCGTCCTCGCTCCAGTGCTCAGTAGTCCTGCCTGACTCCATGCTTCCTTTTCTTCCATATTCTGTCCATACGGTTTTCTTCCTGAACTTTCCATCAACCCCTTACTTCCTTGTAGCCTCCAGAAAAACAGCCTTCTGTTCTCAAAGGAACAGAAGTTCCGAGTTCTTATAAGCTGGCTTACTCTAGTAGGAAATTCAGCTTCCAAAGTCAGGGGGAAGACACTGGCCTTGTGACAGGCATGAACAGGTAACTCATCCTGGATAGTAGACTTGCCATACACCTCAACCTTGGAAAGTCACCAAGCCTTCCTGCCACAGAGAATGGGGTTTTGCTGATCAGAGCAACGGTCATCATGGCCGCTTTTAATTGATGACCACCCTCTCCCAGTGTCCTTCTTCTGGAATCATTGGAGCCCCGTCTCTGTCACCCTCCCAGAGACAGTGGTGTTTAGTGTTATAGGGACTTAGTGTCACCAATTAGTAAGGTGTAAGTCCATGGCCAACATTCTGAAGCCAGACTGTTTGGCTTCTGATCGGCTTCTGATCCTAGCTTTCTTATTCACTAGCAGTGTGATCATGGATAAGGTTCTAATTCTTAATGCCTCTGTCTTGGTTTTCTCATCTGTCAAATGGGATGCTGACAGTAGTGATTGTCTGCGGGAGATTGAACTATTGGTTTTCATTCTTTACTCCTCCATAATAAAATTATACCTTTACAGTTTTGGCTCAAGGCAGGTAAAATGTACTTTTTTCATTTCTTGGTTTTGATCTTAGCCATGTGACTTGCTTTGGTTCATGGGATGTTGTTAGCAACACAAACCCACATGGAGGAAGGAATGTGCAGAATGCTTTCTTGTGTACCTTTTGTCATGACAGCAGAAGCATGCCTTTGGTGGCCTCTGATCCACAGCAGGTGAGAGGCATGGAGCATGTTCAGAATTAACACCAACATGGAGCCAACCTTAGACAAACCCTGCCAACCCCTCGCTGACTAGCAGGCATGAGAGTGAGAAATAAATGCTTTTCCTTATATGACACTGAGTCTGAGGGTGTGGTGGTAGGCAACATTTTAGCCTTAATAGAATAAGATATCACTTTATAGGATTACCACAGGAACTGAGTTGGTTCACGTATATATTCTGTTGCTGCTGTACCTGGGTTGTTATCAAGCAGCACAGAACAGTGTTCATTTCTGGAGGCTCTAGGGAGAATCCGTACCTGCCTTTTCTGGCTTCTGGAGGCCCCCATGTTTCCCGGCTCAAGGGTCCTTCCTCCATTGTCACTGGCAGCAACTTCCATCTCTTTGTGCTTGTCTTCCATGGTAACATCTCCAATTGGCTCTCTCTTCCATCTCTCTGTGCTTGTCTTCCATGGTGACATCTCTGATTGGCTCTCTCTTCCGTCTCTCTGTGCTTTTCTTCCATGGT